TACAACGGAAGCTCGCAGTGCAATGCGAGGGTTGGGTTCAGCGGGCAGAGCCCCGGAAACTCAGGGGTTTAGGCATTTAATTACGGGCGGATGAGCATATTTTGATACCTTATTTGTGACACTGATGAGTCACGATTTGGCGTGGGGTCCAGGGGACGGAGCCCCCGGAAGCTCAGGGGTTTTGGGCAATAAATTACGGTCAGATGAGCATTTTTTGACACCTTATTATTCTGTGACATAGGCAGGTCACTATTCTTTCTTTCTTTCTTAATGAATTTGCCATTTTCCAACAAACGCATAAAAAAGTATAATTTACTAAACATTGAGGAAAAATCTTGGAAATCATTTGTAAATCACCGGTATCGAATTATAAATAAACCACGTTTGAATTATATTTGGGGGGCATCTGTCACCCCCAAGCCCCCTCCCTCCCCCCCCCATCAGTACGCCAGTGGCCCCCCCCCCGATCTACACCTTGTTGGCGGGAAAAATCGCAACTGATCTCCCCTACCTTTCTTCTTTTCTTTTTTCTTTCCCTTTCTCTCCTCTTTTCCTTTCCTTTCCATTCCTTCTCTCTGTTTTAGGTTTGCTGGGGGAGGCAAGGGCCTCCCCCCCCCGATCTACACGTTGTTGGCAGGATTAATCGCAACTGTTCTCCCCTTCTTTTCACCTGTTTTTTTCTTCTTCCTCTTTTGGTTTCCCCTTTTAGCTCTCCTCTTTCCCTTTCCCTTCCTTCCCCCCTTTTTTTTGGAGGGGGAGGCAAGGTTCTTTTGGCCCCCCAAACTACAACTTGTTAGTGGGAAAATTGAAACCGATATCCCCCTTCTTTTCTTTTCTTTTCTTCTTCCTCTTGTTTTCTTTCCCTTTATCTCCTCTTTTCCTTTTTTCTTTCCCTTTTCTTCCTTCTCTCTTATTTTTTGATGGGGGGGGGGGGGAGGGGGAGGTAAAAGCTGGGAGGCAAGGCCCTTTCGGGCCCTCCCCTCCCCCTCCGATCTCCTTCTTTCCCCCTTTTCTTTTCATTTCCTCTTCTTTCTTTCCCTTCTCTCCCCTTTCCCTTCTTTTCCTTCTCTCTCTCTCTCTCTCTCCTTTTTTTTGCAGGTGGGGGGGGGGGGGGGGGAGCCAAGGCCTGCTCCAACCCTGGATCCGCGCCTGGGCTTACTGCGCCGTTAGTACCGGTACGTTTGTGCACGCTGCCGCCCCATATCTGTTGGCGCTGGAGGCGATCGCGCAAGGGCTGAAATATGGTCATGGATAAGTTTTTCGTTGTGAAAAGCTTGAATCCTCTGACATTTAGTGATTCCAAAAGACCAGCAAATAATGAACCTCGACCAGTAAATCAATATAAAGAGGAAGAGGAAGACCAAAGATATTGTTGAAGGATATGGTAACGGATCTACGGAGGGGGGGGGGGGGTGGGGTTAGGGGATTTAACCCGCACCCCACCCCTGGCCTTGGGCTGCCAAGTGAAAATGTGATGTGCATAGATAAACCCCATGTGTCCAGACCCACCCAGTATTAGTAGATATTTTTTAAATATTTTAAACATCATTACGGGGGTTCAAAATGGCAACAACAAAAAAAACGCCTATTTTTTTTTTGTGTCCCAAAATTTGAAAATTGGGCCGATCGATATTTCGTTTCGTTTCGTAAGGTCGGCTTTTTGGGTCACCCAATACCACAATTTTTTTTTTTTAAATTAAAAAAAAAAAGGGGGGGGGGGTTCCTCCAAAACACACACATAAAAGTTCAAGGGGGGGGGTTTAACCCCCCCCCCACCCCCTGCGTACGCGCCTGGTCAGTCTATAGACTGAGATGACACGTTTTATCAAGGATATTTATGCACATGTATTATAGTAGGATGTGCTGTTTCATCTATTTATCATAGATGTGAAATGCCTTATATGCACTTTACTCGGTCAACTGACTAATTTGATGATTTCGGGGGAAATACTACTGCATTACTATAATTTTATTATTCCTAATCGCCAACAAAGTCGTTGAATCATAAAATAATGCTCTAGACTTCCGTGGATATCAAAATCTCTGTTGAAGTGTATTAACAGAAGAAAAAATATATTCCACAAATATGAAAACCAGCCAAACGGTTTTTGAATTTAATTGTAAATACTCTCGCTAAAAGCCAGTTTACATAAATCAAATTAACTTGTTTTTCAGGAGCTTGCGATCATCCATATCAAACGAAAGTTTGAGGATATAAGGATATAAGCATCTGACATATATCAAAGTACTGAGAAAGCAGAATTGGAGTAAAATAATGGAACGAGACTATGAAAATACTCATAACAGTTTGAACATGTTTTTGTAATAACATTTCATGTTTTGTACTAATTCAAGAAGAATTGTAAAAGTTATACCATTTCGTATTAAAGGTAATGCAAAGTTTAGGGAAATTTTGACAATTGGATTGATAGTATTTTTTTAAAATAATGTCGATATATTTGAATGCCCCTGCGGGTGTATTATAAGCACTAGAAAATTTAGCCCCTAAAACACTTCTGCTTTCGAGAAATTGAATAATCACAAATTTACCGGTGCTCCCAGTAAATTTCAAATATTTCAAATAGCGCCTAAGGCCATTCCATGGTAGCTGCGATCATGAAAATCTCAGAATATGCAGTTCTGATATAAAGTTTCCAAACGGGAGTAGCAAATCGGTCTGTTGTAGTCAAGAACAATTGTTTTAGAGCTAAAGTAATATCAGTCTTGAGAGGGCGCTATACAACATAAGGAGTTTATTATTTACAATTTCATTAATTTAGACTCGGTTTCAACCGCGACAACGATCATTGAATATTGTAAAATCGCATAGGCTTCTAATATGTTCATTTCAACCAAATTCATGACCCCTTACCCAAATTTTATAATACCTTTAATAAACTATTGCAAGTGTAACAGACCGAACACTGGGCAAGTAGTGTCACCTGTGAATTATCCGTATGAAATATTTATATCATTGTGTGAAAAGTTAGCCAGACTCTTGGCATGCAAGCAGTGGCGTAGACAGGTTCGTACACCTGGGGGGATGACTCAGGGGCGGATCTAGCTTTTTGCTAAGGGGGGGGGTTGACCAAAATAATGACGATGCGGAGCATCGTCCACGAGCCGCGAAGCGGCGAGCCGATTTTTTTTGGGGTGTTTATTTGAACCCCGTAAGTGATGTTTTCCTGGCATCTATTAACACAATGGAGACCATAAAAAGCAGTGCATGATAACGTCTTTTTAAATCAAGTAACAGTTAAATACACAGTTATATCCAGAGTTATCATATGTTTGGTTAAGTTACCAGATGAGTTGAATATCTTCTCACAATATTTGCACTTGAAAGGGTTTCTCTCCAGCGTGCGTTCTTTTTTCTTTCTTTTTTTTTTTTTTTTCTTCTTTTTTTTCCCTTTTTTTGTTTGTTTGTTTTTTGGGGCCGCCCAAGGGGGGTTTAAACCCCCTAAACCACCCCCCCCCCCCACCCCCGTAGATCCGCGCCTGTTTAATCTTGTGGTTATCTTGTGGTTTCCAAACCACAAGATAACCACAAAATACTTGTAAGATTTTCTTTTTTTTACCGTCTGAATTGGCTTTCACCGTGTGAATGCGGCTAATAACAATAAACACAATTACAATAATGATGAGGATTATTATTATCATCATCATAATTATTATTATTATTAATATTATAATTGTTATCATTATTATTATTACTATTATTATCATCATTATGACTTATTAAGTAAGCAAATATCATTCCCCAAAACCTGGGGGGGGGGATGATTGTACATGCCATCCCCCCACCTTGTGAGGTGGGGGGGATGCATCCCCCTCATCCTCCCCGTTGTCTACGCCCCTGCATGCAAGTAGAAAAACGAGTCCACTTGGGAACTCCGAAGCCACTGTGCAATGTTCGTCGGGTGCGGGAAGGGGTGATTCCGGACACATTTTAGGTTTTGTTTACCTGCCTCTACACGCAGGGGTATGGGTGCCAGTTAAGGCCAAGTCATAGCAATATCATATTTTACATTATCAGTGAACCCTCAGGCTAAAATAAACATCATAAGTGAATCCTACTCCCTTCACGGCTTCAGAAGCTAGAAATACACCTATTATGCATCATCACGGAACATTGGGTTAACAAGTTTATGCAAATTGCCCAACATTGCCCGAATGTTGAATTTGCTTTCTAACGGCATGAGATCACGAATCCTCACCACGATCATGTACAGCAACAACAACAACAACAAATCTTCAACGGAAAGACATTGTTTAGGTTAATTTAATGCAAAGTCCACTATCCTACAGGGTATTTTTATTTATTTATTTATATATATATATATATATATTTTTTTTTTTTTTTTTTTTTTTTTTTTTGGGGGGGGGGGGGATCGCTTCGAACAAGATGATGTTCCAAACATTACAAGATAATAAAACAAGAGTCTTATCCTTGCCCAGGTATAGACTTAAGAAACTTAGAACATGCTAATGTGGGTATAGTCCACCTTCCAAATATATAAACCAACTCGTAATCTTCGTTCAGCAACCGACATCTATTTAAACTTTTCATTCCCAAATCTAGACTCTCAGCAGCTGAAAAACGTTTTGAAGTAGCTGCATCAAAGACTTGAAACAGCATCCCTCTTTCAATAAGGAAAATTACTTGTCTTGCCACCTTCAAAAGATCCCTCAAAACTCACCCTTTTCCTCAATGATCTATGTGATATACTGTACATTTTTGTCCTCTTTTCATATACTTGTATATGTAAGCTCTATGGTACTTATTGTTTTTAGCGCTCCTAAATATTCGATATTATTGTTACTATTTATTCTCATCATTCTCACAATAGTAATAACATTTAGTCAAATTGTTTATGATATTTACTAAAGATTAGGGTTTCTGCAATATTCTATTCCGTTAATTGAGCTTATACAATGGCTATTGCTTGGATGAACAGAATTTAGAGGTAACGAGTCAAAAAATAATATATTATACTCACTGTTTGGCTAGATCCTGCTACATGCGAAATGAATTGTAGAATGAGGCGTCAAGTCCTCTCCTCAGAAATATTTATCCAATTATAGCTGAGCTAAAAGGATTCACACATATTCTTACACAGTTCAAAGTAAAGTAACTGGCAACAAGCGACATGGCAGTTCTCTCCTAGAACGTGTAATAAAAGCGTTTACAAATTCTGTTTGGCAAGATAAGAGCAGAGTTGTATCTGTGCCATGAATCCAGTTTGACAGATGCCAAAACATGCAGTGTCTCGAGGAAAATGATCTAGAAATCAGTCTTATGCAAATTCACTTTGCACAAATGTGCTTCGTTCCACTCAGATTATTTTCATGTAGATGTGACTGATATCCCGTATCAAATGAAGAGCATAGTGTGCGTGAGTCCGTATTTCACAGTTTCGTGACATCAAGCAGGTACATGTACCTGGTGCATGTCAGTCGAATCACGTGGTCCAAAAACGAAACCAGAGGAAAATACGCTAAAACAATTAGAGTTAACCAGACAAAGTAATTCATGTCTCTCACTCAGTGAGTCGGTCCCAATAAGGATTTGTGATTCAAATCAAGTCATGTCGTAAAGTGGTATGGGGAAGCCTAACAAGCCTCGGTCACAAATGCCATTCGAACTGCTACGAACCCCATGAAAATTCGGGAAGACAATAGAAAAACAGGGAGATTCGTACGAACGTATCGTTCGTACGAACCTTGTTGTTGTTTGTTGTTGTTTTAGTCTTAAGGGCGTGTGTCATTCAATTATGAATATTTACACCGAATTCAAGTTTTTTAATAATTTTAAATGGAAGCAGTAAAAAGGAGGGAAAAAAAAATCGACGCTGTTCAATTTTTCGTATTTGTGACCGTAGCTTTGTGACCGTAGCTTTAGTCTCTCCCAAGGCCGAAAACACTCTTTTTTTTGGGGGGGGGGGCTCCAATATATATCAACTGCCATCGCTTTTGAGGACATTCCCCATAATTCAGTAATTGAAATCTGGTGTACTAGCGAATCTAGATAATTCCAAATCTTCGGTTGCAAATGTAGACACGTTATTTTCTTTTTTGTTAAGGGTATGTCAGGCTTTACTTTCTCAATCAGTAATTGACTATGTTTAATTTTCGTGTTAATATTATTGCGTAAAGTGTTTATTTATCGTTATCTATATCTTAGAAAATGTATACTGAAATCAGGAATATACAACTTAACGATAATTTCCCACAATGTTCTAGGAGTCATTTTTGAAATTCGAATGAATATGATAAAAAGAATAACATATCGAAGCGTAATGAAGACCTAGGTGTGGGTATGTGTGTGTGTGTGCGGGTGTGTGTGTGTGTGTGTGTGAATGTGCGTGCGTGCGTGTGTGTGTGTGTTCTTTTGCAAGGGGTGTTTGGGTTGGGTAGTAAGGGAAGTAAGAGTTTAAATTTTAGTTTCTAATTCGATGCATTTTGTAGCGGTGTTTGGTTCATTTAATGCTATGTCTGGATAAATAATGAAGTATAGTTGTGAAGGCTCTCGGCTTTAATAAGAGGAATCACGGGTTCAATCCTTGATCCATAAAATTATATAATCTAAAGCAATTGTAAGAGCAATTTTTTTCAGCTTCACCCAAATTTAAAGTTGATATAATTTTGTTTCTTATTCAAGATCTTTTGAGTCTTTTTAGGATTGTTTTTTCCTCATTTTAAGATGTATTTTTTCACACTGTTACCTCAAAAATCTTTAAAATCTTTGCTCACTTGCTTCACTCACTCGCAAATAAATATTCAGTACACCCAACTGTAAAGTATGATGCTTAAGCAGTATCTTAGACCATGTAAAAGTAGAAACAAACAATTAAATCATTCGTGATAATCTAATCACAATATAGGGGTATAAAGGCCTACCAATGTCACAAATTTGTATAGTTTATATGGTGCCCCCCCCCCCACTTTTAAAGACACTTCGCTCCCCCTGACAGTGGGAAATGATGGTAAAAAAAGTGCACTTTTCAAAGGGCGATTATTTAATAGAAAAAAGGGACATTAATCAAAGAAATTAACGGAACTCATCTTCTTAAAGCCCCACTGTCCTATTTGTAGCTACTTGCTCCCTCTGTATAGAAAACATCCCCCATCGGTGCCTGTTGGTCCCCCATGATCCTCTTTTTCTTATGTTAGTTGAAAGCTGAGTTAATGAGATAGCCACCTGTCAGTGACCTCGCTGTGTGGCCTAATCCCCTCTGGCCCAGTAGTATTGACGGTCTTTAATAGGGAGCATATGTTAAGGGTGAAAAGGGGGATTTTAAGGAACAGGTAAAGAGTAAATAATTAGAAGGAAAAAAAAGTGAGACTAATCAGAAGGGCAAAAGTCACTTATTTGAAAGGATAATGAGCACTCATCATACCAAAAAAGGGCTACCATCAGAGATGAAAAGGGACACTCTACCACAAATCCTCAAGCATTGAGCAGAGTTTAGCTCTGTCAGTCTCTGGCTGCATCAAATCAGCAAAGTAGAGCCTTTGCCGGATGCCCTCAGTATCAATATGCAGACACTGTTACGTACAGCGACTGGCAAGGCTTTGTGTGTGAAAACTATCAGGACATCTAGCACAAGTAGGCCTGCACTAAAGGTAGTATACTTTGTTTGCGAGATCATGTTTTGGGACTTTGGTCATATTTTCACAAAGTAGGCCTAGGCCGAATACGAGGTGGGTGTTATTTCCTGTTATGTTGAACTCTCATGATCTTTCTTTCCTCATCCAGAAGTAGAGGTCACCTCTGATGATCTAGGGAACAGAGTCTACAAAAGTCCCAGCGAACTATTAAAAAGAAATATATAAAAAAAGAGAGAGATATTGAGAGAGGAAGGGTGGGGGGAGAGAGAGAGAGAAGGGAGGAGGGGAGAGAGAGAAAGAGAAAGAGAGGGAGAGTGAGAGTGGGGGAGATCGAGAGAGGGTCACAGAGAGAAAGAGAGAAAGGAAATTTAATGTACCATGTTCGCTGTTAGAATGCTAAATGACGTCAACATAGTGCCAATCAAAGGAAAACAATTGAATTTGATTCAGTTAGGTAATATTTGCCGTTGTTGTTTCGTACATGTCTCGTCTATCCCTAATCTGATGTCTCCCATATTTTATTACGTTGTAGCTGAGACTTTACTTTACTTTGAGTACACTCGATTAAATGTTTGATCAAAAGACGGTATCGTGGTCAAAATTCCGATTTAAAGTGAAGACTGCAAAAACTGCCTATATGGTTTCTACTTGTACGTGCAATCTCCCATTGAAATGCACTGGAAATGTACAGTTTGGTGCCCCAGATTTTACTTGATATTATTGGGTAAATAATACCCATGCACTCCCAAGGTAAAATTTCGCGCAACCCCTTCCCGCTTCCCCCGACACTACCACCGCTGTACCAGCGTTTGTCGATTTCCGGATCTGCTAGGACAAAGACTACCTTCATATCAATTATTCATCCAAGTTTTCTCATGTACATTGATCAGATAATAGAATTGTATCAAATAGGGATGATAACCTCTGATTTCTTGTTTCGAATAGTCATTAAGTGTACTGAAAGGTAATGTGGTAGAAAAACATAAAGATTACGAAATGCACTTTCAGCTTTTATTTCCTGATATTATTTCCTGATATTCTTCACAGAATAACGCGATGATCAATATCTCTAGCATCCGTTGTGAAAGGTTTTAAATTTCCTGCGGGTATAGGGATATGATTCTTAGGCTAAACAAAACAAAATCATTTGGTTGTCCTCGACCGCCCACTCGTCATTTTCGGGCCGCTCGTATTTTTTTTTTTTTTTTTTTCATTTAATTTTTTTTGGGGAGCAATCTTAAATGCCAAACATACCATTTTATGCATTTGCAAGGATCAAAATGCGTCCCGTTGCCAGTTTTGTCTTTTCAGTACGCAATTAGGTATTTATTAGACTTGCCATTTTTATTTTTCTATGTCAAAATGCCGTTCATTCAAATCAGGTTCTGAGCATTCTTAAACTCATTTTAAATCCCATCTGTATTAGTTTACAGGAGGGATTAGACCACCCTGCAAGGTCACTGGACAGGTGGTTATCTCATCAAATTAGCTCTCAGTTAATATAAGATAAAGAGGATCATGGAGGACCAATGGTCACCGATTAGGCATTGTTTGCTACATAGAGGGCGCAAGTAGCTATAAGTAGTACAATGGAGATTTAAAAGGTGCTGTATTTCAAAGCCCAAAATACTTTCTGTGTTGGTCTTGATCTTGATATTCATTGTACATTAAACTAGTCTTTTAACATATTAAAGTGTTTTATAGACTTTGTTTGTTTAAATGCTTGTCAATACCAATGATTTTTTTTTTATGGAAAAAAAAAAATTAAAACAACAAAAAATGGGGGAAAAAAAAAAAAAAAGACACACAAAATGAAGTTAAAACAAAAAAAAAATCCGCCCGCCCGCCCCTACTCCAGAAAAGCAATCGAGGGCAACCAAACAATTTTTTTTTTGGCCTTACCGTAGTTTTAAATACTCATTTTTTCAATGATTTAGTATATTCCTTGGAAGAGGATCTCAAGTATGCTTTCAGCACGCACCTTGCCTGTCGGAGCATGCTGTACACCAGCTTTGCTCCATCCCATGAACTATGAACAGTAATATCACGAATAATGTCCTATTACATTATTATTTAATTGATCCGTATCTTTAAAAAGTGATATATAGAAATGTAACGTTCACTTGCAAAATGCATAATAGGTATCATCAACACTATATACATCGGATATACGAGGTCAAGGGGAAATGGAACGAGGAGAAAAGGTGACGGTAAGAGAGAGAGAGGGAGAGAGAGAGACAGAGAGGGAGAGAGAGACAGAGAGAGAAAAGACCGATAGAGAAATGAGAATGATAGAGAGAGAGAGGGAGAGAGAGAGAGAGCAAAGCAAAGAGAAGGAGATAAATGGAGAGAAGGTGAAAGAAAACAATGTATATTCATGGTGCTGCTAAATGAAATGAAATGAAATACTCATAGTAAACGTATTAAATAAGATACATGATTATGCTTTGAAAATCACAAAACAAATTGGCAACTCACTGATGGGTCTGTGACGTCATTGCCTCACTATCCACTAATTATTTTCTTTATATTGATAATACAAATTTCCCATTTCCCCCCCCAAGAATGTTATTTCCTCACACCAGCATCCAAATTTTATCGATAGTAATATGTTTTTGTGAGGATGAATTAATATAGAGTAATTTTTTTCAGTTAAATCCTGAAAAATGCTAATTTTGATTAACTATTTATATAAAAATCAATGATTAGGCCTATGAATATACAATATTTAGAAAAATGTATCAATTCTTCAAAGTTCATAAAATATTTTGTGAAATGTCATGCATGCAATATGATACAAATCAATACTTTCGGCAAAGCCATGGGGAAATCAAGTTTTTGGGGGATAAAAAGGAACATTAATGGGATGAAAATGTATAAGTAATTGATAAATAGTATAGCAATGACGTCACAAACTGATAACCAAATTTGCAATTTGTGTAGGGATTTCCATTGTTCCATACTTTTTCATACTTTTTCGAAAATTCATAACATCCTTATTAATTATCCGATTTTACTCATTTTTGTTTGCTCTTTATCTCTTGTTGTTCAGCATCTATTAAAAGCAAACTATTTTTGGAGTGGACTTATAAGAATCTGATGAGAAATATTTAAGACGGCTTAGATCGAAATCGCGCAGTCTTTGTCCCTCCTTTGAACATAAGGAAGACACCAAAATCGCTGCCTCTGCCAGCGGATGCATTTCCATTGGGCGGCAACACAGATTGCGAAATCTCTAGTTGTATGTGTATTTTGTATAATACTTAATTTATTTGCTTAATTTTTATGGATTTATATCTGATATTTGTACACGCACTATATAGTGAACAGAAAACTATGTTATTAAGTTCCTTGAATACAAGTTGAGTTCCGTGCTCTTCTTTATTCATCTACAGAAGACGATGCAACAGTGAGGTGGCCCATTTGCGACCTAATGCTAGCGGGCACTCAACCAGTGAATGCTCCACAGCAGGAAGTGCATGCTGACATCACAGAGGAAAAACCATACAGACAGGTATTTTCTATCATGCAGAAATAAGCAAGGATATTATCACATCAATCATAGACTACCATTATACTATAGAAGTGCTCAACTTCATTATTACATTCTTTCTGATGCAACCTAAAACACATTTCACTTTTGCAACCTCAAATTTTGATTTGTGGCCCCCTGAACCCCTGAAAATGTAAGAAGGAACACATTAGGAACCACACTTATCTTAGTTCCATAAATTACAGTTCCCCAATGTAAATACAGTATGAAAACAAAAACCTCTATATTTGGCACTGTTGAAGGCATTATGTCACTGTGTTGTCCTTTTGTTAACGCAATAACTTCAGACCAGATTAGGAGAGCATACACAAACTTGGCATGTATGGCTATGTCAGGATGATATGATCAAGTTTTGGGGTAGAAAGATCATTTGTCAAAGTTCATGAAACAATTAGATGCTAATACAACCAGAACCGAAAGAGATATCTCTATCAAACTGGGTATCTTTAAATACGGTTACTGAAGGTTGATGACAAAAATGCTTAATTTTAATATGAAATGTTACTTATTATATTCCTACTACTGTAAAAACCCTCTAAAATGCAAATTTCCTGAAAAAACCCACAAACCACAACTATAAGCTTTTCTTTGAAAGTGGTATGTGTAAAATCTCCCTGCCAATTTTTGAATTCTCCCAACTGTTTTTCCTTGTAAATATGACATAAAACATTGCTTTCAAATCATTCATGACTCAAATGTTTAAAATGGTATAAAGAGTCTATCTATACATGTATACCTTGCTTTGTAACAATTTAAATTTAAATTAACCTTGAATTCAATTTAATTAAAGTAATGAAGTTGGGAGAATTTATAAATGAATCAGATAAGTTTTTCCCCATTTTAATTGTTGGTAATGTTCTGTTTTCACTCGAACTTTCAGATTGTCTTTAATTGTACAGCTAGCATTGAAGTCACTACCTCAGCAGTATTTTTATTTATCTAAACAATGTTACCAGGTCCCTTTAAAGTTAATAAGTCTGAGGCAATTGTGTCATATGGGAAGCCATATATCTCAACTGCAGTTAATTTTGTCTACAAGTTGTAATTAACTTCTTATTATTCAAAGATACATGTATGGATAGTTAATACATGTGCACATATTACACATTAATAATAATAATAGTAATAATAATAATAAATTTATATAGCGCAGCTTTTATACATTTCATTTGTTCAATCACCTGGTTTATGCTTGTCTGTTTGCTCAGGTTCATCTTGGACCCAATGCGAGGAAGGAGACGAGGACAGAAATACTGGAGGGAGATATGGTGGCCACCTACCGCGAGGCGTATAGCACACAATGACCACAGATAGGACAAGGACAAGATGTGGACAAGGTCAGGAAGGATGGCCTTGTACTAGAATGGTTTACAGGGACATTGACAACAAAATGGAAGAAGATGATGGTTGCTGTCACAGGACAGCAGGACTGGAAGCAGGTTTGGGTTGAGACCATTACAAGGGATAGTGTAATTTTCCTTCCTTTCACTCTGACAGTTGGAGACAAACTGCCACTTCAGATAGTGAATGGATTGAAGGAGAAATATAGGGATTATTTGAAGTAGGTTTTTGTTTTATTTTGGGGGTATTCAGGCCTAGTTAAAGCCCTTCTATAGTGTTGGGACCACCCCCCCCCAATTTGATGGCAATATTCCACATAGAGTGCGTACTGACATAGGGTTTTCAATGAACACACAATTCTGCAAGGATTTTCATGACGATAGTGATTGAAGACAAATTTTGGTAATAGAAATAAAGGAATTTCAATTTTTTATCTTTTAAGCATACAACTCAATTTTTAAAAAGGTTTGTTTTTAAATCATCACTGAGATGATATTGATTATTTACTGCTACAGATAACAAATGAACTTTCGAACATTTAGTTTTAAGTAACATATATATGTGATAAATTGTTCGCCCTGAAACTGCACTGAAGTATTTTATTCGGCTCAAGTTCTTTTCTAGAAAATATCAGAGGAGAGACAGACTAATTCCATGTCAACTGTTAATGTAAAACATTTTTTTCCTGTATGAGTATAAATTTATCTCAAATTTTTGTGCACGTGGGATGTAGTCTTTACCCCCCTCCTTCCCCCCCCCCCCCCCATCCCTCACCCCCGCTTATTCACAGGCCGGCTGAGTCGTTGCGAAATTTTTGGCGCGATTTTCAGATTTTAAAACCCCACCTTGGAAAAAATCCTGCGTAAGCCCCTGTAAGTTGGTATAACGCTTATACCATTTAGTGCCCTGTTGGTTGGTATAACGCTTATACCATTTAGTGCCCTGTTGGTTGGTATAACGCTTATACCATTTAGTGCTCTGTAGTATACAAATATACACTGTCTTGAGAGGTTCTAGTTAAAACTATGCGCAAGAGGTGACTTCAATAGTACTATTTGCTGCGGGGTATATTTTTTTTATATCATGCATCAAAAATTTATTTAATTTTTTTTTTTTTAAATCCCATTTTTGGGGAAAAAAATAAAATTTAGAATTAAAAAAAAATGTCAATTTTTATCAAAAAAAGATTTTAAATATTTTGAGTCGTTGCGAAATTTTCGGCGCGATGTTAAGATTTTAACCCCCCCCCCCCCCTTTGAAAAAATCATTTAGTGCCCTGTAGGTTAGTATAACGCTTATACCATTTAGTGCCCTGTAGGTTAGTATAACGCTTATACCATTTAGTGCTCTGTAGATTGGTATAACGCTTATACCATTTAGTGCTCTTTAGATTGGTATAACGCTTATACCATTTAGTGCTCTGTAGATTGGTATAACGCTTATACCATTTAGTGCTCTGTAGATTGGTATAACGCTTATACCATTTAGTGCTCTGTAGTATACAAATATACACTGTCTTGAGAGGTTCTGGTTAAGACTATGCGCAAGAGGTGACTCCAATAGTGCTATTTGCTGAGGGATATATTTGTTTTATATCATGCATCAAATTTTTTTAATTTTTTTTTTGATCCTATTTTTGGGAGAAAAAAAATAATTTAGAATTTAAAAAAAATGTCAATTTTTATCAAAAAAGATTTCAAATATTTTGAGTCGTTGCTAAATTTTCGGCGCTGTAGATTGGTATAACGCTTATACCATTTAGTGCTCTGTAGATTGGTATAACGCTTATACCATTTAGTGCTCTGTAGATTGGTATAACGCTTATACCATTTAGTGCTCTGTAGATTGGTATAACGCTTATACCATTTAGTGCCCTGTAGGTTGGTATAACGCTTATACCATTAGTGCTCTGTAGATTGGTATAACGCTTATACTTTTTAGTGCTCTGTAGATTGGTATAACGCTTATACCATTTAGTGCACTGTAGGTTGGTATAACGCTTATACCGTTTAGTTCTCTGTTGTTTGGTATAACGCTTATACCATTTAGTGCTCAGTTAATAGATGTAGCATTTATCATATCATATCAATGTTGCTATATTAATAAGAGTCATATGTCTTGTAATTTTCTTTTTGTGTTTGTATTTCTGAAATTATCATGTTATTTGTACTAAGCATTTTTTTAAATACTGAATGTCTTGCCTTACAAATAAAAATAAAATTACCAAAACAGATGATTGAATGCCTGTTTTATTATTTGTGGCTTCTGTAATGCATTAACAATTCATGTGTAATTTATTAATTGATGATTTTACAATTCATGAACTTATTTAAGATTAAGCAGAACCATCACTAAAAGGGTAACAATAAATTGATTCTGGCTACTGGTATCTTTCACATAGCCTTGAAGAAAAGTAAAAGAGAAACCCAGAACCAGAAAATTAAACAATTTTGGTGTAAATCTGGATTTCTGCTGTCCAGATTGAAATAATTTGTTGTTAAAGAGAGACAGAGGGGGAGAGGAAAGGGGAGGGAGGGGGGGGGGGAGAGAGGGAGGGAGAGACAGACAGAGAGAGAGAGGGGAGAGGAAGAGGTGATGGAAAGATATAGACAGGGAGAGAGAGAGAGAGAGAGATACAGTGAGAGAGAGACAGACAGAAGCGCGAAGCGTGGAAGCTGTGACGTTTCATTAAATTATTACTCTTAATCCTTGTCTGAATTTATTTTCGCCCCTCCCGCGCGAAACGCGGAAGCTTTGACATGTCATTAAATTATTAGAGAAAGAAGACGATGCGTTGTACCGTTTTTGACTCTTAATCATTGTCTGAATTTTCAAAAATGTTTCTTGGTCCGATGAAAAGTCACAGTTCGTAAGGACAACAAAAAATATTAATACATCTCACCGACTTCAAACTTCTGCGTTGAGAGGATCGAGCAAGAATCCCGACACAGCGGACAGTGGAAGTTACAAACTGATTCAGCCGGTGACGCAGGTTCCAAACTGAGTCACGTCATTCGGATGGTGACGTTTAAAGGTTGGTCCCCAGACGTAAATAGCGAGTTGTAAACCCCCTACCCCCCCCCCCCTAGATCCGCACCTGACGCGAACGGCTCTTCGGTGGGCTTTTTTTTTCTTCCGATTATTGTTTCTGAACTATAACAGCATGAATATGGATATAACATGAATTGTTTTAAAACTTGATGATCAATTTTTGAAATTTGATAAAAAGCCGTTTTGTGGCTTGGTCGAGAGAAGTTGTGCTAGTCATGTAGTCCCGTCTGTATTGTATTGCGTGGCAGGGAATAGGCCATTTTCGTAATGTAATCAAATGTGATACATAAGTCTTTGTAAAGTTCCTCAATACAAATTATTTCATTCACCTGTCTAGTATGCGCAATAGTTAGAATGCAAACTGCAACAACTAATGTATGCAGATTTGATTCTGTCTATTTAAATACTATTATTATTATCAGGTGAATGAAATAGTTTGTATCGAGTACTTGATTCACTTGAGGCGTCATTGAGAACGCCCGTAGATTTGGCTAAAAACCGTTCTGGATTTCAGTACCTCAGCGGTCACCCCGATGTTACTATAGTAGCTTCTCGATTTTGCACACGAACCGCAGAATCTCCGTTTGCAATGAGTTTGCGAAAACTTCCTAATGATCATATCCCAGAAGTAAATATTGAGTTATGTACTGTGTAAAATATTAATTTTGTGTGAATATTTTTGTATGATAACTGGACGATAGTGATTAGACATTAGTAATGCAGAAAGTTCAAAGGATTAGGAGTGTTGAGTGCAATTAATAAGTACTTCTTCTATACTCTGTGATGTTTAAGGAAATATGAGCATGGGTAGTTGCCCTGCCCCCTCCCCTGCACCACCAGGCTAGCCCCTTCCAGCCGCTTGTCATAATCCTGCCCATCATGATGACCAAGACCAAGGGGGGGGGTGGGGGGGGGGTGAGGCACATACATGGATCGCTTCTGAAAGGAATGAGGCACATACATGGATTGCTTCTGAAAGGAATGACATATTTTTAAAAGAATAAAATCTTCCCTAAAGGGACTAGGTAACATTGTTCAGATGGGGGATAGTGGAGCTAAGGTAGTGACTTCAATGTTAAATGTACAACTAGACTTTAATTCGTCACTTAGACGAATTAGGTGATACGTATGATAATGGTTTACATAACGAATAATGCATTACACGATATATTATTTTGTAAAATGCTTCTCCCATTTATATGCTTCTCCCATTATGATCTATTCATATGTCAAGATTAAATTGTGTCTCCTTGATCATCATGGATCTAGGGAAGATAGATTGAAACAATATATGACCTTTGACCCTGTGCAGTAACCAGTTACACATTTGACTCTAATTTACATCATGAAGAACACCTTTTGACGATTTTATCTTATTCAAAGAAATGAAAATGTAATTGATAAATGATTATCATCATTATGATAATGATGATCATGATGATAATGATCATGATCATGAGCGCGATCATGACATCTTATTGAAAAAATGAGGGTTGATTTAGATAGCATATAGTCTCAGCTACAACTTACTCAAAAGTCAACGAAATCCAAGCAGAAATAACGGCGATATTGCTCGCAAAAGACAGGAATGTAGACTCCAGATTTGAGAAAAAGTCATCTCCCATAGAGATTACACGCAAAAAGTAATGGATTAAGTGAAAATAGGGTAATAATAAAGTAAAAAGGGTTGTTTGTGACATTATTTGCGATTCTACGTGTTTTAATAATCAAAGGAGATGGTACAGTGAAGGTCAAAAGGAAAAAAAAGTGAAGAAACAAATTGTTGGAGACACCCGGACTCGAACCAGGGATCTCGAGATTGGAAGTCAAGTGCGTTACCGATATACCAAAACATTTCCCATAGCGATTACACGTAAACGGGAAATGGAATTCTGAAATCCTACTTTGCAAGTGAAATATGAGCATGATCCCGGCATCTAATCGAAAAATA